ATTAGTTTACTTTAGGTTAACCACTTTTAGCTATATGTTTTGTTGCTTTTTTTTCGTTGTTTTGTTCTTTGTTTTATTTTTATTTTTTGTTTAATACATGTCAATATTGTTACTTTAGCACCTTTTCTCTTTTTGTATAATTATTTTTCACTACGCTTATTGTCTATGCCAGCTAGCTTAACATGGCAGTGACCAACCCGAAAGCATTAGCTGCTTTGGTCACTGGGCACATCTTAATCCTTTAGTTTCTTGTTATCTTTATTTCTGACATTGTTCCGTAAGGTACTTATACAAATTAAAACTCTAATGTAAAGAATATGTAAATAGTGCGACTAATTTTAGTATCGCATGGGTTTTTGTATTTAGAAAAGAACTTTGATTTTTATGAGACGCTCTACTGTGCAATTATATAGATTTAACCTCATCCCGTGTAGACTCTGTTATCTGTAACTTTGCAACGCTCCCTGTTACACTATCTACCGGCCTTGTTTAACTACTGTTCTAAGGGAGAACTCGTTATACTACTCGTTATTTATTAAATAAAGCTGTTGTTGTTCATGATGATGATCTTTGTTCGTTTGACCGAAAGTTGTTGCGTTGTGTCGTTTCGCCCCAAGTTAATGCAAGACAGTCTTGGATTCTCGATTCCACGCTATGGAATCTGGACTCCAGGAACTGGATCCTGGATTCCTTATCAGTGAGACTTGGATTCCGGATTCCAATCATTAGTGGGACTCGGGATTCCAGATTCCAATCATTAGAGGGATTCCGAATTCTTTGAGCTGGATTCCTGAGAGTCGTTACCTCTTCCCAAGAGACAAAATGGCAACTGACCTACATCTCCTCAACGGAGGAGTACCAATTCATGCTTCTAATGTTTGATTTCTAGCGCTACTGTCCGGGATCCTGTTCTAAGTGTGGATGTAGCGCTTATTTGAGGGCGGCGCTCATCTACGTTTTGTTTGTAATGCGGTTCGCCACGTTATGTAAGGAAATTCATAAAATGTTGACTCGCCCATGGTAGGTCAGCGGTTAGGTGGATAACCCTTCAACCCCCGGAAAACACATAAACAGGGCCAATGAAAACACTACAAAAGATATGGAATGTGAGTCTTGCTGGGTGAATAATGGACAGTACCATTAGCGTAGCGCGTTGTTACAAGATTTCTGAGCAATTCAAGTTTCATTAAACAATATAATGCACTGGATGAAACCAGACTCTGGTTCCAGCCTCTCAGATAGTAGGAATGACGCGTAAGTGAAAGACACACGAAAATATGAGCGCGGGACAGGGAAAAAGGGGAAGGGCGGAGGCGTTGGAGCAGCCTTTCCTCTCCCCAGTTTCCTCCCATTCTTGTGTTCGCGCTTTCTCAATTTTGAGAGCACAACGATCTCGGAGCCTTGAACAGTCTATGGGTGTAACAGAATATATTCAACAATAACAAATTCCTTGATTTGTGGGCTGATTCGGATGGATTAGCAAACATTAAGACAAAATGACAAATGAACTACGAGACGGAGCAAATGCAAAAAAAAAAGGATAAGACTAACAGAAACAAATAACTCTAAGAGAAAGCCCGGGGGGAGCAATGCAGACCGGGATTTCAAGGTGCATGAATATTGTTTCTGTAACATTTTCCTTATTTCTTTAGTTAATTAGAATACTTTCAAACGATAAGAAAATGGGATTTTGCACAAATTCTAGAAAATTTTTTGACTGCCGGGCAATTAGTTTTTTCTTAAGACTATTCCAGTCAGCGAAAAGAAAAACCTATTTCAGCAAATTTGCCCGGAATATTCGAGAGAAATCTTCTTCAGGGGTTTATCTGTGAAAAATACGAAAAATAAAGACTGAGAGCTACTGAGAAGCTCTTAGTGAATTGCAAATCAATCTGGGGAAAGACAGGGAACAGTCTTTCATTCGAAATGGCGTGGTTCAACTCGTTGGTGCTTCTCGTTCCACCTCGGCAAGTTGTATTTTTTTGCGGAGGTTGTTGAAGATTTCCAGCATTGTACGGTAGGACCACTGTTTTAATAGCTCAGGTTCGATAACTGTTAAATTGGAATAAAATCTAATCTATCTATCTCTTTTATAAACCACAAAATATAGCAGGAATACTTTAGCGCGCGCATCATCATTCATGAGCGACCTGATTTAGTAAAATTCCTTTGAAAAATAGGGGGTGGATTTACTTGCAACATACGCGTATTTGTCCACTGGAATGTTTTTTATTGTTTTTAGGCTTAAAACCAATAAAAAATTCCAGCAGGCTGCAAATTATCTTTATTTCAGTGGGTTTTCTGAGGGGCTTTGACAGTTGACGGTTTAGTTTTTAATTTCGAAATATTTTCAGATACAAGCAGGTTGTGAGGTCTTGTAATGTCTAGAAAGGGTGTTTTTTGAGGACATGGGAACTGGGCTCTCCAGTTAAGAGAAGAGATTCTTCGGGAGCCAGAAGCTTGTGAACATCAGCTGAAATAGTAAGATGCGAAATACCTTGAAAAATTTTATGGTTTATCTTTCTTGCAATTTTGACGGTTGGGAGTAAAAAATAATCTTTTTCTTCGGTCGACGGTCAATTTTTAGCCTGTTTGACGGCTGATTGTTGACCCCGGTATTGAGACCCTCTTATCAGCTTTTGAACAACTAGAGCCAGACACACCACTCACTGAGGCGTTTTTCTTTTTATAACCAAACTGCGCCGCAGCTCCTCTTACGCAGAAAATTCCGTAATTATTATTTTTTTGTCAGGACAGGTCTAGCTGAGAACGGTAATGCGCTCCTGTAATTGAACAGCTCTTATTTCAAGACTTTCAAAATTTATAGGATCTTATAGCATCTTTCTGTGCTAAAGGCAGCGTGGAAAGGAAAATCGTATACGTCGGTATTAAATCCACTGTAAAAATAGTAGTATAGGGCGCACCGGTTACTCCGGTTTTTTGCGCAGGAATCTCATTAGCGTGCGCAGGAATACATTAACTAGGTGACGTCATAGGCTTTGTCTTGATCTCATGAATAAAATGCGCAGGAATCTCATTAAGATAAGGTCGTGTGTTATTTTTAGTTGGTTTAGGTTTTCTAGTTACTTTAAGGTCGATAAAACGTCTTCCTTTTCGATTGGTTAGTTAGAAAATAAGAAACGTTTTCATTGGTTAATTCATAGTGTCTGAGGAGTAAAGTCAAACTTGTCTGTGACTTAAAATCACTGAAACGTAACGTAATTATGCTCTTCCTATTTCCTGCTGCTGCGATTGTCCTAGTTCCGGTTCACTGATTTTTTGCAAATCGTGCATATTAATGAGGGTAAAGGGCAACTAGCTCTTTTTTATACTGCAAACAATGTTTTACTCACCCCTCTCCTTTTCATTTTTTTACTTTCCTCCTGCTCCACAATTTTATTATTTTCGTTCCTCAATTTTTTTATTCCCTCTTCCAAAATTTCACAATTTTTATCATTTTCCCGCCTCAATCTTAATTTCCCTCCTTCTCCACAATTTTATTATTTTTCCTCCTCCACCTCCACCTCCTCACTTTTATTGTTTTCCCTCCTCCTCCTCCTCCTCATTTTGATTGTTTTCCCTCCTCCTCCTCCTCATTTTGATTGTTTTCCCTCCTCCTCCTCCTCCTCCTCATTTTGATTGTTGTCCATCCTCCTCCTCATCCTCCTCTTCCTCCTCCTCCTCATTTTGATTGTTTTCCCTCCTCCTCCTCCTCCACCTCCTCATTTTTATTGTTTTCCCTCGAAAAGGCCAAAAGGCCAAAATCAGGCCTATAAGGCCAAACTCAAATATGATGGTCTGATTTTGGCCTTTTGGCCTTTTCGAGGGAAAACAATAAAAATGAGGAGGTGGAGGAGGAGGAGGAGGGAAAACAATCAAAATGAGGAGGAGGAGGAGGAGGAAGAGGGAAAACAATAAAAGTGAGGAGGTGGAGGTGGAGGAGGAAAAATAATAAAATTGTGGAGAAGGAGGGAAATTAAGATTGAGGCGGGAAAATAATAAAAATTGTGAAATTTTGGGAGGGAATAAAAAAATTGAAGAACGAAAATAATAAAATTGTGGAGCAGGGGGAAATTAAAAAAATGAAAAGGAGAGGGGTGAGTAAAACATTGTTTGCAGTGTAAAAAAGAGCTAGTTGGCCTTTACCCTCATTAATATGCACGATTTGCCTGCCAAAAATCAGTGAACCGGAACCAGGACAATCGCAGCAGCAGGAAATAGGAAGTGCATAATTACGTTACGTCTCAGTGATTTTAAGTCACAGACAAGTTTGACTTTACTCCTCAGACACTATGAATTAACCAATGAAAACGTTTCTTATTTTCTAACTAACCAATCGAAAAGGAAGACGTTTTATCGACCTTAAAGTAACTAGAAAACCTAAACCAACTAAAAATAACACACGACCTTATCTTAATGAGATTCCTGCGCATTTTATTCATGAGATCAAGACAAAGCCTATGACGTCACCTTGTTAATGTATTCCTGCGCACGCTAATGAGATTCCTGCGCAAAAAACCGGAGTAACCGGTGCGCCCGATACTACTAAAAATACCCCTCCTCCTCGGCTCCGCACCGCTTCTTTCCCCCTCCCCGGGTATGTGACTATATCGCGGGGAAACCAGTGGTGTCGTCGCCAAATGTCGGCTGTTTTGTCAGGCAAGTGGGAGGAGGGGGGCGGGGGAGGTGGAGGGGGCACAGGCTACCCACGATTTTGACCTACGATCAAACATTTCTCCGTTTCATTATCTTTCTTGAAAAGTGAAGGGCCGGAAGAAAAACCACCTTCCTTCCCGCGGGATATCCCGAGGACATCTCAGGCTTGATGGAAGTATCGCGAGAATTTGCAAGAAATTAGTTATGCCTCTCCCGATTATTGGGCAGCAGCAGAGAATTAACCACTGCCCCTTTGGCATGTATGGCAGGATCATCCACCCCCTTATACTATTCACCAGTGGGTGTCCCACAACTCATTTCGGCTCTGTTACTAATGCTTCCGGCTGAAATCGAAAGTGTTTCTTTCGCGTCGAGGAAGTATACCACATTCTTAGTTCGTTGAAGTTGGTTTTGCTCCACTTTATTGAAGATTTCCTGCATTGTAAGGTAAGATCTTTCTTTAAGATAGCTTAGCTGTGTAAGGTAAATTTACAATCTTGCCTAACAACACAAAATTACAGGTACGCAACATACGCAATGATGCATTCCATCATGGTGACTCGGGCAAGTACTAGTAGCAGTTCTTTCCTCGTTGATCTGACTCGTGCATGCATCGAAAGAAGAAAACCACTAAGAAAACATATACTCGGCAAGATTATTCAGTAGGAGATTGGTAGCCTCCCTTAGTCTATCAAAGCGAAAAATTTGGATAATACATTGTTCGAGGTTGCTAAATAAGCTTAATATTTTTTGTGCTGAACGTTTGGGCCATTTGATTGTACTACAGTTAAAGCATTCCACCTTCCAGCCAAGAGGGAATGCCCAAAACACTCTTGGAGTGAGGCCTTTTATTTTTGTCCTTTTATTATGGTACTTAACATGAACTGTGGTAATTACAACCGTTTTGGGATTAATTAGTGAGTCATTCATGGCTTCCGGCTTAGGGTAAACCAGGGAATCCCTGGGCCAAATTGTTCAAAGCTGGGTTTAGATAACCCAGGGTTAGTGTGTGATTTGAATTCAGATTTGAAAGCTTCCAAAGCAGTTCAGTTTTATTCTTTTTGTCATCAAGTTGATGATTGGAAGCTCTAAAAATAGCACAGAAAATTATCAGAGAAAATGCTGTCGAACACAAGAACGAGAAACCCGGGTAGGCCTTTCCCGATTGCACTCGGAAAATCCTAAAAAAGTGCTGGCAAAAAAGGCTAAAAAGTGCTCAGAAAGTGCTCAAAATCTCAAAATAGTGCTCAAAAAGTGCTAAAAGTTGTGAACAGTTACCTCTAAGCTTTTCGTAAATATGTCAATTTTTACTGTAGTAATTAACAATCTATTTTGCATAGTGTTATTCGACAGGTTGTTACGAATGGTTGATAGAATATAGAACAATAATACGAATTGTAAATAAATTCAGCAGTACTAGCATCAGATGATTTAGAAATTTGAGATGACACATGCATGATACATCAGCCAATCAGAAACTTCTGTTCTCACGCTCAGTGAGGATAAGTCCACGTGCCTTTCCATGACAACGGTCTTTTATTCTTGACAACATCATTAGTTATTCAAATTTATGACCTGGAACACGATTCTCGTCGCGAGCGACACTCAGTTTTTGCTTTAAAATGTTTTAGAAGACATATGTTGCTTGAAATTTGCTCGAAATGTGAAATATTGCTCTAATGTTGCCCAAAGTGCGAAAAAGTGCTTAAGGGTGCTCAAAATGCAAAATATTGCTCCAAACTCAGAAAAGTGCTCAAAAGGTGCTCAGCGCAATCGGGAAAGGTCTAAACCCGGGTTAAGCGCTAATCGGCCTTTGAACAACTGGGCCCTGGTGTATAATTTAAAGCCCGATTTACATGACAAACTCTTACGGCACTCCTTTACATAGCCTGAGTAAACAGTCAACATTTCATGGTGCCACCAGTGGTTTACTCACTAAGTGAAGTCTGAGAAACAAGTGCAGAAATTCCATACTGATGACATGTCATGATGTGTCACTACCCAGATCTGAGTAGTGTGTCTGATTGGTTGAAAATGTGCTTCAACCAATCAGGAGCACTTTAAGGCTTATTATTTCAGGATCAGGTTACACATACCAAAATAAAAGATCTGCATTTAATCCTAGGTTAAGTTTTAATAGAAGCACTGATAGAGAGCCAGTTGGCTGTACATGTACATGTAGAAAGATTTTCACCCAACATTGCAGTGATCATTCGTTCAGTTTTTATCTTGGAACTATGGAGTTTGTTGCTTCCCTTGGTAATTTTTCTTGACTTTCCAGTGACTGTGTCTCTTTTAGCCTTTTGCTCTTGAATTTAATTAGTACATTCCACAATCAATCTAAAAACGGAAGACAAAATAGCTCCTATGAAAAGCACAACACAAGCTGATATATTTTTCCATTTTACCTGTTGTTCTACAATGTTTTTCTCATCAGTGACTGTGACATAAATTATACAAAGCTATTCTATTCCAATTTCTGGACTGTTTCTCACTTGTTTTCTTTGAGAAAGACTCTCCTTTACATCCCAGACTCAACAAATTTCCTGGCTGAATTGACTGCAAAGCAACTTACAAAGCAAAGGGGGCTGCAAGCACTCTTAAAAGGCTGGAAACTTGGCGTGAAACTAATGGACCAGTGTGGCTTTTGATTGGACGTATAATCTTTCCTACACATGAAAATACAATCATTCACAATTATTCCGATTGGACATATCATTTGTTTCATGTGTGTAAAACATTCTTAGCTCCTCAAATTGGCTCAAACTCGTATCAGTATGCAAGTATATAATGAGAGATTAATAGTGGTCCAAGGTTAAACGAATATGAAAATAATTGTCATATTCTTTTATAAATATCATCGAAATGTTGAGCCCTTGTTTGTAAATGTTTTGACACTGACTTTAATTTTTAGATGTTACTATCAAAACACTAATAACAAAACAAAACAACATCCACTGACTGCCGTTACATTGTTTAAAATGATCAGCCTGTCTGTGTAGGAGGGAGGGGGATGGGTTGGTAGTTACTAATTAAAGCTTTTATAAAGTCCATACTATTCTTTCGCTGGTCAGGTCAGGTGCTTAGATTAACAGTAGAGGATTATATAATTGTAAATCAAGAATACACTGTATATATTCACTATGAAGTAATAATATAAAGTAAGTTGTAATCTTCTGTGTGGCCATTTGAGTTCATTAATTGAATGAACTCCAAAAAATGAACTCATTTTTTTTAATTGAAAAATCAGGTGCTATATCAGCTGACACTGAGCAATTTTTCCTTGTTCACGCTCAGCAAATGTAACATGACATAACACTGCAAAACTTGACATTGTTTTTAGTAAGTAATTTTTTAATAAGGTGTATTAGTTCCTTTTTTTAGTTTTAAGATCCGTTGTCCCTTTATCATTAATGCCTGAGTCGCACATAAAGATTGGGTGCCTAAGAACCCGGGGGCTGGAGCTGCCGACCCCTTACCCAAGTAGCAAGAACACCCCAAAAGCCTGCCCTACCCGCAACCCAGCCACTGGCCCCGCCCGCCACACCTAGCCCCAGCCCATTAAGCACTACAAGCACACATAAATGTGCACACTTAATTGCAACAGTAGACCAGTAGGGCACCGGGAATTGCCCCACAACAGGCCTAGTGCAGTAACCCAAACCCTGGCAAAAATGCTAGAACATAGGATAACTGCCAGCTCGCCAAAGCTTGCCAATAAAATGCTAACAAACGCAAATGCCATGCCAACACCATGCTAACTCCAAGCCAACTTCTGAGTAGCTAGCTCCTGGTCTGGTTGTTAACTAAGTTAATTAACACTAAATTATTCCTCGAGCCTGAGTGGGCTCTGAGTCAATAGCCGACTCAGAGGCCATGAGGGCGAGAGGAGTAATTGTTTTAGTGAAATCCAACTAGTTGGTCAAAAATATCGAGACAAACAACTTTAGCGAGCAAAATGCGATTCAGCCGCCACTGTTTTGGTTTTCAAAGCCAGCGCTTTTTGCTACTAGTGGGTTATAACATATAGCCTAGTAGTAGCTCAACCAATCAGAATGCAGCATTGTTAATAGACCACTAGTTGGATGTTACTAAATAAGTATAAACCTCATTATAACTTTCAAACTTGACCTGTTGGCATGTACTAGTTTTAAATGTGTTAAGTGTCTTAAACCAACTACTGCAGTTTTAGGTGCAAACAGTACCATCCCTCTGAACAGAGTGGCACCATAATCCTCTTCCCCCTTCCAGTCCACAAAATGTTGGTACTTTTTTATGTATTTTTACTCAAATCTGCAAAAATCTTACATACAACTTCAACTATTGCCCCACTTAATTAAGGACACCTATGTCACTAATATAAGCAGTTGGCTTCCCTGTGAGGTTTCTTTTTAGTCCCAATGTCACTAGTGGAATATTTTTTACTCATAACAGATGGTGAGTTTTGTCTGTGAACCGTTTGGAAATCACAGTGCAAATCTCCTTTTAAGCTGGGCTTAATATTGTAATGCTTAACGTAATGTTTCTGTCTATTTTCATTGTCTTTTTTAATAGTCTTATATAGCTTTAATACTGTTTTGTTTGTTTGTTTGTTTGTTTTACATATTTTTTAGACCCTGGGACCACTGTAATTGGCTTACTGCTGTTGCTGTATTCCTGCCCAATTAAGCAGTTATTCTTCTTTGTTTTCAATGCATATTAATTTTATTATCCTTTATTTTTTTCTCTCTCTCTCTGTTTTTTTATCACATTATGGGCAAAGCTAATAAAATAAAATATAATATAATAATGTCTTTAGTTAAATTTAGGCTTCTTGTCATGTCACTGACCTATCAAAATTCCTTCTCTACTGCCTTAAGTGTTGCGAGTTACCTTTTTTGCTTAAAAATGTCTCAAAGTCGTAATTTCACTTAACCGTGACATACGTCCTTATCAGCAAAGTTGTCCAAACTGTTGGAAAAAAAAGTGTTGACTTGGTAATGGCCTTAAGAACCATCTTAGGGGAATGGGGTGGCATTCAGACCCTTTGTTGTCCTGGAGCTAATCCTGCACAATTTGCATAACTTGCAGCTGTAGGTAAATTGAGACTCTTGCAGGGTACAGCTTTTGTAATGTCATGTATGGGGTTAGCAATCTAACTTGTGGGAAATTGGGGGAAATCCATCAGAGTTCAGACCATGAGAATGTTTTTGCTTATTAACTGAGTGTTCAAAACTGTGTTGGCACCAAATGACTGCTTGTAGAGCTACAGCATGTACGCACTTAGTTTAGGTTTTCAAGAAAACAATGTTGAATAGTCAGAAAGTAGCCTGGGCAAATGGGCGACATTTCGCATCGCCATCAGCTTCATCACAAAATGATGTCTGTGAGATGAGTGCAGAAATTCCATACTGATGACATGTCAATACCCAGATCTGGTAGTGCTTTTTGATTGGTTGAAACAAACTTTCAGCCAATCAGACCTACTACCCACCCGTACACACACTGCATGTAGGCCAATGTCAAATGTCACAATAGATCTTGCACAACTTGACTAGCCTTTCAGTTATGTAAGCCATCTGTATGAGTATGATTAGATTGACAGCTGTCAAAATCAGACATCCGCTGACAATTATCACATGACTATTTCGCAGGCTCAGATGAAAGACCAGTCGTTTTGCTCCTACATATAAGCTGATATAATAATATTATGTTACACTTACTAATTTAACGTAAAAACGAAACTACGCCGGGCAGGGTTGTCAGTCGTTTAAAGCAGAAGCTTCTGCTTAAAGTTATATTGGCAAGCCAAATTAAGGTCAATTGACAGCTGTCAAAATGGGACATGTGCAGACCACTATCAGAAAACTAATAACGTGGGCTCAGGTTCGCTCAGGTACACGATCTGGCATTTTCCACTACAAGCCAGATGGATATGTCTTACTCACACTCGTAGTCTGTTAATTCGAATATTCGTCATTTTAATGAAGGTTAATTGACAGCTGTCAAACTAGAGCATACGCTGACCATCATCACCTGATTGTATCGCAGGCTCATTTTTCTATCCATTGAGGTCATGTAGTTTTTAAGGTTTTCCGCTGATATTTTATTTGATCACGGGCTCAATTCGAAGCCCCATAGCTTAGAAAATCTATCCATCCTAGAAAATTCGGCAATCACGTAACCATACACCGACCACCTGACCTTCCGTCCGCCCGCACCACAGGCATACCAATGTTTAATATCAGATATTGTACGTCCATGTTTTGATTAATTGACAGCTGTCAAAATAGTGTTTCTGCTGACCAGTTTCGCCTTACCGTATCACGGGCTCAGGTATCGACCCACTGGGTTCGAGTGTTTCTTTGAAGTTATCCGCTGACAAGTTGCTACTTTTCAACTGATCGCAGGCTCAAGTTCAATTTTTTTAAAATGCGTATGAAATTAGTCGTGTTCATGAGAAGCACTTTGATTTCGAACTGACGTCGGACGCGAGAATTCAACCGGCTTTTACATGTCGGGAAGGCAATCGGTTTTGACTTTTCTCACTGTCACGCGTTGATCACGTTCTACGTCCAATTTTTATGTTCTGATTGGTCAACATTTCTACAGGTGAGTTAATGCGGAAAATTTATGCAGCGTCTGGAAACGTAACACCCATAAGTAAGTAACACCCATAATCATAACACGAGATCCGTTTCCAATAACAATATTACAACACCAGCTTGTAAAAGGAACTCTGGCCTTCGAACGTTTCACTCAAGCGCTTGCCGTTTGTGGAACGCTCTTGATCCCGAACCTAAGACACTCTCCCATACTAATTTTAAAAATTACTTATTTAAACTTTACCGTAGTTTGATTTCTTCTCTTGATCATTTTAAGATTTGTAAAACCTTTTAGTTTCATTAGTAGTCAATTAATCAATATTGTATTAATAGTAGTTTATTGTGTAATTTTAGTTGGTAGATTATATTGGTAGTTAATTAATTAATCGATACTTTTTATTATTTTAATTGTAGGAGGGCCATTATGAAAACTATTGGGTGACCAGTAATCAATGTCTTTACCCTCGTTAAATAAAGTTATTACTTTACTTACTTACTTACGAAACTTGCTTATTGATAGCGGAAGCTGACAGAGTTTTGTGTCATCTTGTGATGTTTTAAACTGTCTTTTTCTACTTGATGTACAAAATGAAATACAGCTGCTATCAAGATTGTTCTGTAATTCATGGCTGGTTTGTTTATTGCGCTTTCTGTTGACAAATGCGCCGCTTGTCAAAGTCATTGGAAATCCGATTTCGGATGGCATCGTTTTCAGAAATGAGCGTACTCACTTGCCCTAGCTTGATGCGCAAGAGGGTTGAAAAGTCTCAAGCGATTCTGGAACACTTGATGACCTTCAGAAGAAGCATCTCGACTGGTAAGCCTGAGCAATTATTGTGTTTGATGTGTTTTTTTTTTCGGTTTCCTGAAGTCGAGCGTATGGTTTATGCGGCCAACGTTTATACACGAGCAATGATCTAACCTACAATAGTATCAGGTTTAAAAAGCCTTTAGACATTTTTTGACCACAAATTCAAAGAAAAGGTTCCGAAGAATATTTAGTTATGATTTTGGTTGTAAACAGAAAGCTCTGAGCGATTTTCTTGCCTCGAGTTCATCTTGAAAACGAGCAAACACGGGGAAGCCTGCTTAAAACATAAATAAGCTCATATGCTCATCTGACTCATGATTTTCAGAGACACTTTACTCTCAATACTTGTCTTGGTGAATGAAAATTATTGTCTCTGTACATGTTTCAACGAATTATATTTATTTTATTGATTGTTAGTAGTCCCTCTCGCAATTTTTATAGCTGCACCGGTTGTTTCCAGTCGAACATAAACATCGCATGAAGGAATACTCAAAACGCCGGGGGTAAACATCACTCGCTTTTAAAGATTACACATAACAAAACCATGAACAGTTAAATAAAGGGAAATAAAACCTAAACACAACAAATTCTCTGTCAGCATGATAGAGAATTTGTTATGTTTAGGTTTTATTTCCCTTTATTTAACTGTTTATAAATGGTAACTCTATTAATCGCACCGCAAATTTTACCATGAAAAACAGCAGATTTACCATGAAAATAGAAGTAAAAATAAACTTAAAAAATAATTATTATTTGGTATGAATTCACAGAAATTCCATCTCATTGCAAGTGATGCATTCTGGGCTTAATATTGTTGAATGTAAACATAATCTGAAGAATCTGAAGTGGAATGTACCCACCAGGGGGGGTACTAGGGATTTCAAGTGACGGGGATGATCGAATGGAGCCAAAAGTCAAGACCCCAAAAAATCCCTGGACCAATAATGCAGACTATTGTATAACACGTGCGATGTAAAGCGACACCATAGTTAACTATTAAACAACAGCAAACACCTTTACTTTACTCGCAGAACTACGCAGCCAGGGCACTACCGATTCTTTTTAATACCACCAAAAAAATTCCTACTCAAATCAAGCTACCCAAAAAAGTACTTGCCAAATTTTCGTACCCAAAAAAATCCCGGAATCAAAAATTTCAAACCCAAAAAACTCCTTCCATCATCCCCGTCACTTGAAATCCCGAGTAATCCCGAATCCTGAGTATTGAAAAGATTTACTGTGAAAATAGAAGTAAAAATAAACTTACAAAGTTATTATTATTAATTTTTACAATTTTTTTGGTATGAATTCACGGAAATTCCATTTCAGTGCAAGTGATGCATTCTGGGCTTAATGTTGAATGTAAAAATAATGTGGACAATCTGAATTGGAATGTACTCGGTTCTTTGTCATTGAGTGAAAGTTTCTTTCCTTTCTTTTTTAACTACACTTTGGTTGTGAAAGACCATGCACGTAAAGGTGACAAACAAAAATTACCTTCACAACTGCCACATCTATTTAATTGTATATTTGTTATGGTTCCTTATCCTAGTATCCTACACACTATTGGTTTGATTCCTTTCAGAATTTCTCTTTTTATTAATATCATGCTATACTTATGTAACTTCCTTTGTATAGTTTGTGATGTCTTTGTATGAGCAAACCAACTTAAAAGTCATTACTTGTGTCCAGAAATTGGAAATAATTCGGATTTAATTTCATGGTGATGATGATGATGATGATGATGATGATTATTATTTAATGTTTCTCATTATTTTTCATTTTATTTGTCTAGGTAATCACATGATTTCGAGTGCAATTTGGAATAAATAAGCGCGAGTAAATTTTTCAAAGACCAACAAGAGTGGCTCAGTTTCCTCGATTTTGTTGACAGTATTTTTCTCTTAGCACCGCATTTTTAATACATTTAGCCTGAAAGACGTACTTTTCACTATGTTCGGGTTTTTGGGATATTTTGTTAACTTTTCTGTTGCTGTTTTGCGTACAAAATTAAATCTCGTCGCCGTCTGCTGAAAACCATGGCCATTTTCTTAAATTTTATTGTTAAAACAACTCTAATCTGATTTGGTTGTTGGTTGTTGTTTTTTAGCAATGTAGCCTGTAGGTGTATTGTAAAATGTGAAAGTATTGTAAATAAATGAGAGAAAAAAACCTGGGGTTTAATTACTTTATATTGGGCACAGTTATTATTATTCCATCTGACGTATTCCATATGACGTCATATACACGCTTGCGTTTAGGCGAGGATTAAGGCTAGTGGACACTTTGTGATGTCTATCATAAGGGGCATGAATCTCATTAACTTAAAATCCTGGACACGGAAAGTCAAAGTACAAAGAAAAGTCACCATTTGAACACTTACTAGTGATAAACTTTTTGCAATCGTTTTCTATGTTTTGTTTTCTTTTAGGTGTTTAGCCATTCTGATCATGCTTTGAAATGGCATCTTTTATGGACAGATCCCGCAAAGTGCAAGTCACCATTTTGGCCTCTGAATGGGGATCGAGCAAAGGAGGGCTGTCCACCATAAACAGAGAATTAGCCATTCAGTTCGCCAAATGCCCTGAAGCGGAAATCACTTTCTTTCTTCCAAAATGCAGTCAAGAGGACAAAAAGCTAGCCCTCCAACACAACGTAAAGATCGTTGAGGCATCACGCCGGCCTGGCTTTGAAGAACTGGAGTGGCTTACCTTTCCACCAGAACATTTACAAATAGATGTAATCGTTGGTCATGGAGTTAAACTCGGCAAACAAGCACAAATCATTAAAGAACGTAAGAACTGCAAATGGATCCAAGTCGTGCACACAGACCCAGAAGAACTGGGAATGTTTAAGAAGTATTCCAACCCAATTTCCAAGGGTCAAGAGAAACATAAAACCGAGGTAGAGTTGTGTGAAATGGCAGACCTCGTTGTAGGAGTTGGACCCAAGTTGAGTGAGGCCTTCCGCTCGTATCTTCGAGGGTGCCAAAAGGATGAAAGTGTAGTGGTCTTGACTCCTGGAGTATTTAAAGAATTTTCCAGCTTGAAACAGGCTGCGGAAGAAAGAAAACAACGCAGTGTCTTGGTGTTTGGTCGTGGGGACGCAGAGGATTTCGAACTAAAGGGATTTGACATCGCTGGAAAAGCGGTCGCTGCATTACAAGATACACGTCTTGTGTTTGTTGGCGCCCCAGATGGAAAACACGAAGAAATAGCGAATAGGTTAATCGAATGTGGTGTTCCTGCAAGTCGCTTGAGAGTAAGAGGATTTATTGACGACCGAGAGAGTTTAAAGCGCTTGTTTCAGGAAGTGGATCTTGTAGTCATGCCTTCAAGAACAGACGGCTTTGGGTTGGCAGGTCTTGAGGCCCTGTCAGCTGGTCTCCCTGTGCTTGTCAGTCACAACTCGGGGTTTGGAGAAGCACTGTGCAGTGTACTATTTGGTTCATCCTTTGTAGTTTACTCAGAGGACCCCACCGATTGGACCGCAGCCATCTTTAAAGTCTTGGCCAAGGACAGAAAAAGTCGACTTGAGGAAGTGAAAACTTTGCGCGATTCGTACGGCAAGAAATTTAACTGGGCCAAACAGATAAGAGATGTTCTTCACAAGATGATCAGCTGGACTAACGGTATGAATGTCAAATGAAGTTTATTTTCATCATGTTTTAATTGAAGCACTATGACCATGCCTACTGATAATGGCAGCAAATTTTAGTTTTCTTAGTTTAACCCCTCCTCTAAATCAACAATTTATTTTGATTACTTAAGACGCTGTTTAGTCTGAAAAGAAAACAAACAAAGGCTGTTTCTTGTAAATGGTGTTTCATACACTTAACGTTTCCGGCTACTCACAATCCAGAAAACAAGAAACCTGAGTGTTTTTACTGTTTCATACACTCTTTAAAAGATAAAAATCTTGTCCTTTTTTCTGCAGTTGGTTTTTCAGAAGTCCAGAGCTTCGCCGAAACGATAGGTGGAACCGTTGTGTCTTCTCACCTGGCTTCTCAGGCTATACGAGGCACGACAGAGAAACATGCAGGTAACCCTTAAACCCTGGGTCGTGATCGGAATAAACAGCTTCCACGATTCCTCTCCCGATTATGTTTTTAAGGTGGCTTACTGCAGTTTTTTGGATGAAAACTAACGACTTTTTCAAACTGGAACATTCTTTCTGAACTTTTTTTTTTTCACTGTACTGAACTGTTTATCACTGCAATTGATGTAAATTATCATTTTACCTGCTAAAAACATTTTATTGCATAGTATAACGCGAAAAATAGTGACCTAGCATCCAGAAAAATCCAAATCCAGGAAGTTTTTTTAGTTATTATAAAATGAGACAAAATTCCACATTTTTCGCTTTTGCCAAAATTCAGTCTATAGGATTTCTTTCTTTCTCCCTAAAAACAATTATTTCTACGTACTAAATGATACCCTGAAATTTTCAGATGGGGTCGTACGGCTAGTTTCCAATAGCGCTGTCACCTTTTCAAGGCTATAAGAGCTATCCAGCCATAGAGCTAATTCCTAGTCCTTTCATGAGAGGATCTAGAGTAGAAAAGTTCGTGGCGTTCACAGCTATAGTAACTTAATTTCGCAGTGATTTAAAATGTCTCATCGACATTTACTGCTAATTCATGGTCGGTTACGCCAGTATGGTTTTTTGCTGTCTGTAAGGAATGTATTAAAAACAACTAAGCATATATGACAAACATTTTTAAGTCTTCCAAGTCAATTGTCTCAATTTGTTCCTGTAGTCTCATAACTGATCATATTTACCGTCGTTTCAAAAAAATGTCAACAAAGGAGTCATTCTGTTAGGAGCAACGCTTGGTTTGTGATGAGAATGGGGTTTTAAGCGAATAAGGTTTATACAGTGTACCTCGATTATAACACACGTACTGTATAGTAAAGCAATTTACTTTAGTAGATCTAATAAACAATTCATAATTTTGTTGGATTCTTCTTTTAGATCCTGATTCAACTCAGTATGCCTCCACCAATGGGAGATCAAATTATTCCCGGTTATGCCGTCTTCTAATCAGCTTGGGTTCAAAAGCCCTCAGAGAAACGTTTGACAGAATAATTCCACCGCAAAGTCTTCAACGCATTCTAAAACGGAACCCAGCACACTCTAAACTTCAGTCACGTCGAAAGGAAGGGATACTAAACTCAGTCCAGTGGAGTAAACTGTATCCTACCACACCCTCCGAAGTTTCATCGGCAGGCTTCGACATCCCCTTGCTAATGGTTCTTCTAAGGACAATCTGTGATCTGAGTCCTCCACCCGCTGGTTGGGATGCTCCTCCTCTTCCCAAAGACCTAAGCCGTGAGTCTGACATTGCGCGTCTGAAATATTTCTTCAACGCCGTGTCTAGTCATGCTGGAGAAGGTTTTGTGAGTGATACTGTCTTCAGTAGCTACTGGCAGCAGATCCATGACACTCTGGTACGATTGGGAGGAGCTGATTATGAAGATGTCAGTGAGCAAATGAGGTGTCAGGAAATGGACGTCCTAAGTGAGGAACATTTCAGAGAACTTCTCAAGCAGTGGAGGAAGGTGGAGGAAAATATCAAAGACAAACTGAATGAACTGGAAAGTGCAGAAGCTTTAAAGATGGCAGGTGAGCTTTTGTGGTAAAAATATGTCTGCTGTTTGTATTAACATATGGCTGGAGTTTTTAATTATTATAATGGTATAAGAAAAATTTCGATGTGGTCAGTTTGGCAGCAAACGGTAATTTTTGCTATGTGCTTTGCTATTCGGCTTATATATAACTAGGTCCTGCCTGAAAAGGTAAAATTGTCGTTGAACGTTTTTAATTTATCTAAAGATTAGGCAAACGTAAGTTTTGCGAAGAGACCAGATGCTGAGTCTGAATCACGCTAGGTCTTGAGTAAACAGTCTTCCCACGTACTTTGACAACTTTGTTGTGGGATTGCTATGAAATTGCAATCTGCAGATTAAGTGGAGGCGTTGTCCTCCACATACAGTTATGATCTGTAGTTTAAAGTTTGAGCCCTTCTCCTATGGGAGCAATCGTGGATAGGTTGAACTTACTGCAATATTCATCACGAGTGCTTTTTTCCCAAGGCCTTGAAATAAGTAATGTGTAGGCGCCAGTAACGTGCAGTAAAAATTGTTCTGCTCGCAAAGAACCCATTTTGGCAGGTTAAATGTAAAACAATAGCTTACGAAAATAATGGTACTTACGAACGTAGAGAAATGTTGAAAAGGTACTGGCGAAGCCTAGTACTATAAAAAAGACGAACTAACGGAGGGGTAAAAGTGTAGAAGAAAAGACTTTTGTCTTACAAGCGGACTCGCATCCGAAGACGCAGTGAGAACATAAAGCTACGTCAGTAAGAAAACAAGACTAACAACTAACCATACCGAAAATCTCGCATAAGACAACAAGAGTAGTTGGGAGATTTAGAGTCACGTTGTATAGACAAGCGGCAAACGTGAGATCAAGTTTGCAATTTCTCAAATTAGGAGATGAGCAGGTAAAAACTGTCTTAAATATTTTTAGTTGTAGATTAACCTAAACCGTCTCATTTTTTGAATACAATAAACAGTAGGTGACAAGTAAAGGGAACACGTGATGACGTGACACAATCTGACGTTTGCCGCAAACGTGATTCTAAACCGTGACGTAGACACAATCGACTACAACAGCAGGAATGAGTTGACGTACAGCGAAGCGATAAGAAGACTAGACTACAACCACATGAAGGCAGTGACGTAACAAAAAGTGGTAACGAGACATGACTAACATATATTGACATACGGGAATAAGGTTAATACCACAGGAACGAAATTATGTACGGAAAATGGGTTTGACCTGGAAAACAAGAAACGAACAAGAAGGACTCAAGTACGAGCTGCACGCGTAGTACATTCCTAGCAGAAAAAAGATTACGTAAAATTAATTTTTTCACACCTGCTGACAATGGCAAGTGGGCTGTCTATTAGACAATTGAAGGATGCCTTTTTCTTTTTAGGTTTTTGGTGGCATAATAGACTGTTAACAGTCCCCTATGTTTTCGTAAGATCGTCAGGATCGAGCGCTTTTCGGTACGGTCTGTTTGGTTAGGCTTCGATTCGGGACACTGAAACCCAGATGGCCACCCGTAGCGCAAAGCGCTTGATCTCGACGATCTTACCGAAAAGTAGCCGGCTGTGAACAGTCTAGCGGGAAACAAGCTCATGATCTTTTTAACTTCTGGCCGGTAAAACAAATAACAAACAGTTAAGGAAACCTCTTTTTCAAGGTCAAACGAAAATCATTCAAATACGGTACGAACAAGGCGACATACGGAAAAGCGGTGAGAACACAACACTAATGCCATACGAATAAGCCGACGTACGGAAGTGAGGTTAGAAGACAACACTCAGTACGTTGTTTGTCCCACTAGCACTGTCCTGTGTTATACAATATCTACTATAAACAGTAATTATCGAACAAGATGACCGACCATTAATTGTTAGGCTGATATAGTCGCTAGGCTGATATAGTCGCGGTTGACCTGCCTTTATTTCAAATCTTGCTTTTCGTACAATGTAAATCTCAAAGAGGTTAGTTTAGAACTACAATCAGGGACAAAAGTAGTTGACACACTTGTTTAGAACGGGTGCTTTTATCAAACATTTACTTCATTTATTATTTCATTCCTTTTAAACGCCATAAATCCCCTCACCCCCTGAATCAATGTTGTCTGAAGTAAAAGAAAGAGTTGAGGGTCCAAAATACAACATTGATTTTGGGGGCAAGGGGTGGAGGTAGACAGGGGAAGGGGATAGGTAAGTCCAGTATTCAAAAAAGGGGCCTTTTTACGGAAGTGTCTCAACACTTTTGTCCCTCATTGTCTGAATGCAAAATTGTACTACTGCACACAAGTTGAGCTCTGTATGACAATGATTTTAACTGAAATTAAAGCAATCAATGACATAATTATGTTATTGGTGGTGGGGTTGACATTGACTTCTTCACGACCGAAATATAGGGCCAATTCGAATTACGTGATGACGTAATAAAAGGGCTGCGGTATCCAGAATTAACGGCAATATAGTTTACACGCTAAAAACTGAGGCTGAAACTCGCGCACATGTACAACTTTTGGTGAATTTCAAGAGTATGCGTACTGAAAATATTTTTAATAAAGTGAATATTCCTCTTTCTTTACTTTATCCGATTGATAAGACGCAAACAATCAGGGGTAGCGTAAGGATTGACACGTATTGGGGATAGTCACTGGCCGGCCACGGAAATATGGAGCGTTAGTGAGGATCGGCCATCACTGCGTTCAATATCGGAACTACGGAAAAGTGAAGGTAAATTCATGGTCAATTTAATAAAAAACTAAGGACAGCGTAACAAATATTACAAGTGTACGCGAAAACAATTACTTTCAATCCCACCTGGTGACACCCTCTGTGACATGATAACGCAACGCAAATAGCGTGACATGAGCGCATATGTCTGAGTATTTGGACTGCATTTCTCAAGCGAAACCCTCTGTTTTTCTCTATTGTCGGCAGGAAAAATGAAAACAGAGCTTTAAAACGTGAACTGGTATCTGACTCTCAAAGAAAACGACAGCTCAAACTGAGGAAAACACTGCTTCCTTCGCGATACAACGGTTAACCACGTTTCGGCAAACGGAAAGTAACATTAGTCTGTTATGACCTCTTAATGCCGATATGTTTTCTCCTGGTTAACCGTTAAAACTCCTTATTTGCACCACATCGCTGCAATGTTGCTCGCCAAGAATAAGTATTGCAAAGCACTTTCTACATAGCGAGATCTTCTTTTGCCTTTTGTGAGGAATTAGGGCATGAAAACGGAAAATTTTCCAGCTCACGGCCGTCATCGATCACGTGCCAATCCCGCTCTCCTTGTCATCAAGTGAACTTCTGGGCCACAGTAATTGTTTTTTTGGTGAGATACAGACTGGTCTGTCTATCTTGAAAACAATTTCTTTAGCATTATGTGATTTAGGAGCTGGGAAATGAACTAGAATAAATGAATAACTGGCAGGCGGTCATCTAAAATCATTACAAAAGTACATTCCTAACCTGTTCTACGCCTACCTACGCTAAAGGTTTGGATCTGTTAGGTTTGAAAAGGTCTCAAAAAAAAGAAAAACACTTATAGGGCATAGCAGAAACGGCTGGCCCATCATTTATGAGGTTCATATCCTGTATATTGCTCACGTCCTTTCACCAATGGCACAAGTCAGTGTCGAAAATAATGCATGTCCGCTCCGTTACTCTGCAGTATTTCATTATCTTAAGTTGACTATTCATGCACACAAGAACAATTTTCATTGTACCTTGGTGTTTCCATCATTTTTCCACTAGTGTTAATACTTGTGAAAACATTACATCCGCAGCAACGGCAGTGATCACAACACAAATGATTTCCTCTCGACCCGACAGGGTATCAGGAACGCGCGCGGGAGTACAAGATTAAGTAATGACATACGCGTAGTACATTTTACTGTACGTGTACTACAAATCACGACGAAAATTTACAAATGGTTGTTTGTACACAAACAATTTGGCCCATAGAGTAACGTCATGGCACAACAATTCAGCAGCGTCAAAAATCTAGCCGGAAAACATAGATACATATTTCAGACAATCAGGGACAAAAGTAGTTGACACACTTGTTTAGAACGGGTGCTTTTATCAAACATTTACTTCATTTATTATTTCATTCCTTTTAAACGCCATAAATCCCCTCACCCCCTGAATCAATGTTGTCTGAAGTAAAAGAAAGAGTTGAGGGTCCAAAATACAACATTGATTTTGGGGGCAAGGGGTGGAGGTAGACAGGGGAAGGGGATAGGTAAGTCCAGTATTCAAAAAAGGGGCCTTTTTACGGAAGTGTCTCAACACTTTTGTCCCTCATTGTAGGCAATACTCATTCCACGCCAACACATTTACCAACAAGAGGACGTACGGAAAAATGTTAAAAAGGCAGTACTAATACAGTAAAAACTAGAGCTGCTGGAGGGAGAGACACGGGTAGAATTGGTAGTATTGTTAATTTTT